GGGGCCTGAAGGCCAGCTTCATCTGTCTGATAAATTTGTCCTGCCCTTGTCCTGGGTGAGCAGGTTTGAAAGTGAGATGAAGCACACTGCTTTGCCTAGCTCTGCTTTCTGCCCTGAAACCCAACAGTGGCAGGTGGGGTTTTATATACCCCAAACACACAGAGATACAGAGACAGACAGATTTACCTGCTTATTTTTGGGGGTGAGCCAAGAGGAAAGGAGAGAAGAGGCACAGGAGAGGAAATGTTAATAACTAATGGAACAGCAGCTGAGCAGAGGCTGGAATTAATGGGATCAGAATGTAGGTAGAGGGCATATGTTTGGCAGACATAAAAGGAAATCTTCTCTCCACAGAAAACTGTGAAGGAAAAGAGTGAGTAGCATGTAGCTTGCACAATGCAGAGATATAAGGAATTGTTTTTCTTCTGACTTCATCTCAGTGAAGTTGGGAAGTCTCACTGTCCTCATCCCTCTGCTGACCCCCTGAGCTTTCTGTGTTTTATTTGGTTCTGAGCAGATCTTAATACTGTTGTGATTGGCATCTTTAAAGGAGAATGGTTTTTATAGAGTAAACAACAGGGACTCTGTTTTCTTCCACATCAGCTCACCCTTCCGTTTCTGGATCCACAACAGTGTGGTGTCCAATCAGTTGTTTAGAGAGAGAGAGAGAGAGAGAGAGAGAGAGAGGGCTGGATGCGGTGGCTCATGCCTATAATCCCGGCACTTTGGGAGGCCGAGGCGGGCAGATCACGAGGTCAGGAATTCGAGACCAGCCTGACCAACATGGTGAAATCCCATCTCTACTAAAAATACAAAAATTAGCCAGGCATGGTGGTGCACACCTGTAACCCGCAGGAGAATCACTTGAACCCGGGAGGCGGAGACAGCAGTAAGCGGAGGCTGCAGTGAGCTGAGATCACGCCACTGCACTTCAGCCTGGGTGACACAGTGAGACTCTGTCTCAAAAAGGAAAAAAAGAAGAGAGAATGAGAGCACTTGCAGCATGTGCACTGAGAACAGAGAACATTGTTCTGTCCTGTTTCTACTGAGGGGAATCTTTTTATATCAAAACCCTATCGTTACCCTGGGATAGGAAGGTGGAAATAGCTTTGCTACTCAAGACCCTTCTTGGTGAATGTGTTGGACCGACCAGACTTAAACTATGTTTCTTGGCATTTAGAAGGTCAACCCGGGCCGGGCGCAGTGGCTCAAGCCTGTAATCCCAGCACTTTGGGAGGCGGAGACGGGCGGATCACGAGGTCAGGAGATCGGGACCATCTTGGCTAACATGGTGAAACCCCGTCTCTACTAAAATATACAAAAAAACTAGCCGGGCGAGGTGGCCGGCACCTGTAGTCCCAGCTACTCGGGAGGCTGAGGCAGGAGAATGGCGTAAACCCGGGAGGCGGAGCTTGCAGTGAGCTGAGATCCGGCCACTGCACTCCAGCCTCGGGGAACAGAGCGAGACTTCGTCTCAAAAAAAAAAAAAAAAAAAAAATAGAAGGTCAACTGGGGTTTCAACACTAAGGAAATCTGGGAAGCAGCCAATTTCATATACTCTTCATATACAGGTTGAGTATTCCATATCTAAAATGCTTGGGACCAGAGGTGTTTTGGATTTTAGATTTGGATTTTCAAAGCTGGGATGCTTAACCTGTATCGACTTTACTCAGATATAAAATTTATTTTTATAGTTACTGAGGCAATGAAGTGACAGTAACATAAAACTGAGCATAGCACCTGCTTTGATGCCCATGATCTAATAACCCCATCCAGTGTGTTCTGTTACTTTGATTCCTTGGGCATTTAATACTGTACTAAATTGTAAAGCTCCCTCCTGTCTTTCTTTTATGTGTGGTCTTTTTTTTTTTTTTTTTAATAGATACAGGGTCTCACTCTGACACTCAGGCTGAAGTGCAGTGGCACAATTATAGCTCACTCTAACCTGGAACTCCTGGGCTCAAGTAATCCTCCCACCTCAGCCTGGAGTAACCAGGACATACGCTGCCTTTATTCTTAACTTCCTTTTGAGGCTTTTCCTTCTCTGCCCCCTTCCCTGACTTCTGCTTCTTCCAGCTCCCTAACTATGAAGTGTGCCCCAGGCTGAGATCTGGGACTGCTTGGATGTCTCATGCACCCTCAAGGTTTGGCTCTTGGTTTTGGGCGACTCTCAACACTGTGCTTCCTGATGGCTTTCCAGGGCTTTAGTTCAGCATCTGACTTCTAAATGGCTGTTGGATATATCTTCGTAGGTGACCATACACTCCCCTGCTGCCGACAATTATCCCTCCCTCTGGTTATGGTGACACCATTCTCCCATACATCTCTACTTGAAGATTGAAAGCCTTGATTGCTCCACATCCAGTAGATGGCCAAATCCCATTTACCTTTCCTTTAGGATATCCTTTCTTACATCCATTTGTCCCTCTGTGGACCAGTCCCTGTCACCTCATTCCTGAACTGCTGAGTCTCCTCTCAGTTTCCCTGCCTCCAGCCTTTCTTCAGTCTGCCTTGTACTGCATTTCCGGAGTGATCCTTAAGATGCTGCCTTGTATATATCACTTTTATTTCCACTAAAACTTCTATGTGAAGAAATTTCTACCAGTAGAAATCTTTAGTAACTATCTAGAAAAGAGTCTCAATTCCTTAGCTTGCCATTGAAAGCATTCTGTAGTTTTCCTCCTTTCTTCTCATTACTCTTCACTTAGTTTTCTGTTGACTTAAATGTATCATGAGCCATCATTCCAAGGTCTACCTTTGTGTGCTGGGGGTGCGACTGTTCTCCCATCTCCCTCCCTCTCTTAACATGGTCTTTACCTGTGTGGTCTACTCTTCCCACTGAACGCACCTGTCTTCACAAAGCTTTTGTCAGTTGCCCCTTGATGAAACCCTCTCTTCTGGATTCCTGTAGGATTTTTTGCTAATCATATTATCACTTATGTTTTCAAGTATAAGCCCTACCTTCCTCCGTATTTGTAAACTGCTCCAGGGCAGGGGTCATGTCTTAAGACTTTACCTTTCCAGTGTCCAGCACCTTCCTTTGTCATAAACTATTTGAGGACAAAGGTGAAAGAGCAGAATATGAAATGGACCAAACAGTGGACAGAGTGAAGAAAGCCTCTGGAAGTCGCAGAGAGCCTTGCCAAGACTCCAGATCTCTCCCAGCCTCTGTTTTTGCCTCCTGCTTAAATATAAAGGGGGCTGGTCTGTGACCTCAGAATCTATTTCTCAGTCCTAAACCTAATGTTATGTGAATGACTCCAGTGACTGGATTCAGAAACACTGCATTGCAGTCCTCTCCCCTTCCCTGTTGTGATGATTAAACAAGGAGAGTAGAGTGGTTTACAGAAGTAACACATAATTTAACGAAGACAATAAAAAGTTCACAAGATAAAGTAGGATTTTTTCCCTAACCACAATCACAGAAAGTGATGAGACAACTTTCAAGAAAAAAGCCGACAGCTGGAGACAAAAGACAGTGTCTCCTCCTGGGATTCATTTACTTGGCTCTCAGCCTCTGTCAGTATCCAAAATAGGATTCACTGCTGTTTTCCATTCCTCCAGCATTCACCAAAGCAGTCACTTGGCCTTCCTATTTTCCTAAAAGTTAAGCCTTTCCTTCTCTCCTACACGCCTCCTCTCCCTAGAAACGTGGCTGAATTTCCTCCCTTAAGTTTCACAATGTAACATCACTTCCCCTCTTTTTGTGGGGTAAAGGTTTCCCCTTTACTTCCCTCTTCCTCTAAATCAAGATGAGACTTCACGAGAAATTGCTTTCAAAAAGATGAACTTTTCAGCTTATCAGTTTAAAAAGTAAATATTTCAGTGGGTAGGGATCTGATTGTATTGAACCGGTGATTACAGATTATTCCACAAGCAAGTGGAAACATATTTTAACTGTCTCCAGAACCCTGAAATGTCTAGAATCTGACTTGTTTTGGAGTCTTGAAATTCTGGCTACTGGCTCTTTTCCTTCCATGGTTTATCAAATTCTCTGCTAGTAAGCCATCTTTTATAACTAAATCTGAATGTCTCTCTTTTCTACCAAGACTTTATTCTTTTTTGTTCCCCGTCTTCCCCTCGGGAAATATTTTTGGCAGGGACCTTATCTCAAAAGGCTTTATAACAAGATCTTTTTCTGAAACCTCTGAAGTAATACTGTTCTCCTTGGCCTCAGTGTCATGAGAAGCCCAGACTTCCAGACACTTTCTGATCCCATTAGATGTTGATTACATTGTTGGCCCTTACTCCTGGTGACTTTTTTCCTTTCAAAGTGGCAGTTGTTGTGATTGAATGGGTTTTAAATTGTCACAGTATGAGTTCTTTATGGCTAGGATTCCTTTGGATTTTCCATCATTTGTGGGGAGGGGATGAATAACGGAGAAAATAAAAATATGAGGCTTTGTCAGACATTTATTACTGAAACTGAGAAGCTGAAACTGAGAAGCCTTATATTCTCTAGGAAGGTTACAGGGTAGTAGCACAGTTTCAAAATTAATCACCAGGAGTTTTGTTTCTCACAGTGGATTCCAAACCTACTATTATCCGGTGGCACACCTCTTCTTGGCCTATGTCCTTGGTTGCTTCAAGGACGTAAGGCTTGGTTGTGGCAAGGACTGAATCCTACTTTGCTTGCCCTTTTCCCTGACCAGTTAGGTTGTTGATGGCTTGTGGAGATATTTAAAATGTTTCATTGGGTTAAAAAAAAACAGGTAACTTGGAGAACACAACAGAGAGGACATAAGAGATCTCTTTGGTTTGTCGCTCAAGGTTGGGTTGAACCTTAATGGGAAAACGGTATTACTTTTTTTTTGAGATGGAGTTTCGTTCTTGTTGTTCAGGCTGGAGTACAGTGGTGTGATCTCGGCTCACTGCAACTTCCACCTCCCGGGTTCAAGCCGTTGTCCTGCCTCAGCCTCCCAAATAGCTGAGATTACAGTCACATGCCACCATGCCCAGCTAATTTTTGTATTTTTAGTAGAGATGGGGTTTCATCATATTGGTCAGGCTGGTCTCAAACTTCTGACTTCAGGTGATCTGCCTGCCTCAGCCTCCCAAAGTGCTGGGATGTGCTTTCCAGAAGCAAAAGCTACCCAAATGATTTAATATGGCACTTCTGTGGAATTTTTACCCCACAATAGCTAATCAATATTAATTTTCTCATACTTGCAGACAATATTGCTCCCTGAACAACAATGGAGAAGCTCAGATTTTATTTGACAAATTTGGTATAGTAGATTTTTACTTTATATATATTTGGGGAGTGTTGTGCTTATACAAATATATAGATCTGGTGCTTGGAGGATAGTAGTAAAGTGAAATGTTTTCTTAATTACTTTAGGGAAGCAACTCTTCCTATTGTTTAGCTGTCTTTACTTCTAGCCTGCAAGAGCCGAAATCAGTAAACTCACCAGGTGAAACCAGTTTTCTAGTGGAAGCATAGATACGAACTTGCATTAATTTTGTTTCCTTCTATTTGGAGTTTGACATTTCATCTCTCAGGCTAAGTAAATTTCAATCATGAGAGACTCCTGGTAACCAAATGTTGTATTTAGAAATGTTATTTAAAGCTGTTATTTTTTATTTTTAGAGCTGGAACGTCTAAAGTTTCATAATGTATAGGCTAAACTTCAGAACACGTGTTAAACACATTCTCGTTCTAATTCTAGAGATTATATAGAGTATTACATAATTTGGAGTATTTTCTCCCTTTGCTCAGAGTGTTAGCTATTGGAAGATCAAAATATATTTTTCCCCATAGGCTTTAATTTGTAAACCTACTTGTAGGTTATTTAACTGTATTTATTTTACAGATCTACATTTCATAAAAATATGGATGATCATTCCTTGTGTTGTTAGAAGTATATCAGTAATTGAGGCCAACAATTACATCCACATTACGTATGCTATTTGGGGGTGAGAGAGGCATGTTCCCATTTACAAATTTGTTTATTAGAGAAGCCAGATCTGTTAGAATCAATTATGTAGATTTAGATAATTTTGATTTTCCATGTACGCTGTCGAAAGACACATCTTAACCAGATTGGTGTGTGTTGTGACTTTGCCCGCAGTGTAGAAGTGGATCCTGTCATCTGTTTACCGTTGGTGGGTATTGAACTATATTGATGTTCCAATCCATTGCATGGCTCCATGAACAAAATTTGAATCTGGCTCAAGCTGAGTGTTGGATGGGTGGCAGAAGCAGAGGAAGGGTGTAGTAGAGTCTGAAGCAAGGAGAGAGAGAGGGAAATGCTAGGTGTGGTAAGAACTGCCATGTTGTCGCTTGGCTGGAGCATCGGGCAAACGGAGGGCAGTCCTGAGAGATGTGTCCCAGAGACATGAGCCCGTCCTCAAGGCCTGAGCTCCTGGCTGGGAGTTGGCTAACTTTGTTCAGGAGGCAAAGGGAGCCAGTGACAGGTTTTAAACAGAAAGATGGATAAACACACTAGGCATGGCCAGCACCTTTGAATTGTTTTCCAGAAACCAAGGTTTGGCCTGGCTTCCAACATTTGGCAAAATGAAACTTTGGAGAAGGAAAGGAACAGTGGAGGCCCATGGCTCAGATTACATGCTTTCATTTAATACCTTTTTTTCTTTCAGTCAAAGCCTGTAGTAACTGAAGTCTGTGGTCTTCATACCACAGAGTTCTCTATTCTTTAGGGAAGGTGGTCAAGGTGAGAGACAGTAGTCCTGTACATGTGAAGGGTTAGGCAGAGACCTGGAGTTATAGGATTATAGGATACTCACAATTGGTATCCTATAGCTGCTGAAGCTTTGTTGCCCTGCGAGTTAGTAATTGTTTCTTTGAATAAAATAGTCTTGTCTTTACCTTCCATTTATATGTGCTGATGATTCATTACCAGAGGAGGGCTGATGTAGCTACTTCTAGATCATGCCAGTACATGATACCATTCCACTGAAAAAAAAAAAAAAGAAAGAAAGAAAAGAAAAAAGGAAAAAGAAAAACATGCTTAATAGCCATTTTTAGACCTGGGCTAAAAAGCTAAAAATGTTGATCGTTAGATAATAGACAGAAAGCATAGTTGTTCGTTTCAGAATTCATTTGACCACTACACTGGATATTTTGGTTTAAACTTCTTAAACTAAGTAGTCCAAGAGAAACAGAATTTCCCTCCATGGCATCTCATTGTGAATTGCATTTGCCTGATGATCTCGCTCTCACTGGGGAGAGGAAACTCTCGCCACCACTGGCTCCTATAACCCAGGTTGTCCTGGTCTTCCCTGACTGACTCCTGTTACTTTTGGTAAAGTCACAGCTTTGCTTTCTTGATTTCCACAGCACAGAGTTTTCTGTTCCTTTTGGTGAGAAGGAAGGGAATGGCTTTCTGAAGTACCCGAGATGGGAAGAACACAGTTCTCTGTTGTGCATGGTCTTGAACTGTGTCCATCTGGTTACCCCCGTGTGGTCATGTTCCTTGTTCATTACCCCCTTGAAGTACAATGCTCTGGGCACTCTGCCTCTCCTGCTGCTGTCTAAGAAGGCATTAGTTTTTTTCATTGATGAGTCATTGAACGTATAGGAAACCCAGATTCTTGAGGTTTTTTTTTTAAATAAAAAACTGTAATAATTAACTCTTATTAATTCATATCTCTGTTTTGCATAGTTGTTTTTAAATGTGAATATAAGACTTAATTTTTGTCCCAATTAATTTTTTCCTTAATGTGAATCTTTTCAGATTCTCTTTGGATGGGGTTCTGATTTGCTCAGCTTCTATATTGGCTGTTCCTCCTCCTAAAGTGGTGTCATCTAGAAGTTTGAGAACTATCCCATTGACATACTTATCAATCAGGTGAATATACTAGAATGAATGCCTTGTAATGTATCACTGAAGGCATTTTCTCCAAGTTTAGTCTTTAAGCCTGACTATTACTCTCCTGACACACATGAACTCAAATGGTATTCTGGAAGAATTTAATATCTTGCTTAAGTCCAGAATATTTCAAATGAATCTGGGTATACCTTGCAATATTGGCCTACTGCCAAAGATGGCTATGATGTGGGATTAGGTTAGCACCAGTAAGGAGTTAGAAGCAATGAAAAACAGTGTGGTTTATGAGAAGGAGGGTTTTCATTTTATACCACTGTTTGATTTGGTTATTCTCTATTCTGTTGAATTAGTTCCTTGAATATATGGCCATCTGTTTTTCTCCTAAAAGAATGTAAAATATCTGATTTGAAGCTCTATGGGAATAACTGGATTAGCCAACAGGTGGACTTTGGAGCCAAGTGTTTGTCAGCCTGAATGTCTGTGCAGTTTTTCCAGAGAAGACTTGTCTACTTTGGAGATGTTGGCCTGGCTTCCAACATTTGGCAGAGTGAAACTTTGGAGAACGAAAGGAACAGTGGAGGCCTGTGGCTCAGATGACGTGCTTTCATGTAATACCTTTTTTTTTTCTTTCAGTCAAAGCCTGTGGTAACTGAGGTCTGTGGTCTTCATACCACAGAGTTCTCTGTTCTTTAGGGAAGGTGGTCAAGGTGAGAGACAGTAGTCCTGTACGTGTGAAGGGTTAAGACAGAGACCTGGAGGTCTAGTCTCTCTCTAAATAAACTTACAACTAGTTTCTCAAGTTTCCAGCCTCATGTCTCACTCCTGTTTTTTGTGGTGAACAGTCTCTCCAAACTTGAGCCTCTCTGGGTTTCTGTGAGAGTAAATTATTTTTCTTGTTATCTCCTCCGTAGCGTCTTTAGGCTATAGCAGAGTTAAGGAAGTTAAATTGGGCATCATTCTGTCTACTTTGTCTTTCCAAAATTTGTTGAAATCGCTCCTCTGCTGTCTTTCCTCCTATTCTCTTGCCCTTAGCTATTTAATTTTTATTTTATTTGCTATCATTTTAGTCGTTCTTGGAAAGGAAAGGTGAGAAGTATGCAGTCAATCTGCTACATTAAACCAGAGGCCTATATTATATTATACTCCTAAGAAAAGACTGCAAGTTAGTTGAGTTTCTGTACAGTTTAGAGCAATATGTCATATAGCTGAAAGCTTATTACTATGAAATTAAAGCTATTTCTAAATGACCTATAATGACACACTGACATTACTCAGTTTCTGATTCGACTAATTTATCAGACATCCAGAGGATCTGGTGGTTGTTCCTTGTGTGGGAGCTGCATGATGTCCTGGAGGAGCAGTGTTGTGGAATGGGGCAAGGGTGTCCTCTCACCTGACTCTATGATGCTCTGAGTCAAATTACTCCCCTCGCCTAGTACCCAGCTCCTTATTTTGTGAATAAGGGTCTGGTCCTCAAGGTATTCTCAGTTTCTCTGGTCCTGAGGCTGTGCCTTCTGGAGCACAGATTCTGGTGGACTCTAATGCAGACCTCCATCCACTCCTCAACAGCAATGGTACATTAACTGGGTGATTTAAATGGCCCAGTTGGCTCTTTGAGGATAGGAAAAAAGATGAGAAATCCTGTTACAGTTGGCATTAGACTCTTAAAGGAAGGGAAATGTGATATTAGAGCAACCTCCATTGAAACCATCCTCGCTGTAAATAGTGTCACTGATGTATTAAAGAAGACATATCAGAGGAAGGGGAGTGGGTTCAGTGGAGTCAAGCTACGTATGCTAGAGTAGATATCATGAATCATGCGATCGACTTATGTCCTGTTCAGCTGAAAGATGTAAACATAGCTAGTCTCAAGGCCTAAAAACAGATTCCACACCTGTCCTAAGCAGATCAATTCAATATGGTCTGAGTTCTAGGTTTATTTCAGTGGAAAGTTTAGAAATGGACTTCAAATTAGTTTAAATAATAATATTAGCTCATGTAAGTCCAGGAGTGACTTACTCGTGGCTAGATCCTGAGGCCTGGGTATATTTAGGCCTCACTCTCTTACCATCTTTTAATTGGGTCAAGTTCTCAACCCCTAGCCAACTACTGTGCTGGGGAGAAGGGTATCCTGACTGTCCTTCCCTATGCAGCCACACAGAAGGGAGAGGAGTGGTGGAATGGGAGAGACTGACATGACAGCTTTCTGCCACCCTCCACTCTATATGTGGAAAGTATAATCACTTGTGAAGATTTAATTTGCAGAATAGGAGACCAGAAAAGAGTAGGAAATTTGGACTTTTCGAAAAGGCAGAAGCCACTGGAGGATACAAATCATACAATGAGTGACCAGATGAGATTTGTATCTGAAGCTCAACCTGAGATCTGTGTGGAGACTCAGTCACCTTAAATTGAGTTGGAAATAGAAAACCAGGTAATGATGAGAAACTGACAGGACCTGGCCCAGAACCAGGAATCTGTCTTCCACCACGTTTGGATTTCACCCAAAAAGGAGTTGCCAGTTCGCCGTGGGAAATCTGACAAATGAGAAACGTGTATATAAAAGTGAGTGTAAGTACCATAGTTGCCTAAAATAAGCACCCCAGGCTTAGACTCCATCCACAGAAGCCGTTCCTCAATGAAGTGTTTGCCACAAATGGGCTGCACTTCGAAGTCTCAGAACTGGAGTCCTGTTCACCATCTGGACATTACTACGGAGATCCTTCCTAGTGATGGCCAAGCCCACATCCTCTTCTCTGAGATCATGGTCCCAGAGATCCACAAATGGATTTTAGCAAGTGGATTGAATGGATTTCACTCAAACCACTTAAAAATGTGTGAGGACAAGGTCTGTTCCACTTACCAGGTTCAGAGGGTGCTAAACTGAAGGCGTTTGAGAACTCTGCTGCATGAGAGGACCCCCTGAAGAAAGGGAGTACCCTGCTTCCTCTCAGAGCTGCCCTTTTGGGATGTCAAACTCCTGTTACCCAATGTGTCTCCGAAAGAGACCCACAGTATAATGGATGTTTGCATGGCAGATTTATTCCTGGGGCTGTCCCTGCTGAAACATGGAACATGTTTTTCTAAAGAGATCTTGTTATCAATATGGCAGCAAATGAAAGTAATGCTGATGTTATTGTTTCAACTAACAGTGTCCAAACTTCTCTGTTTAAATAAAGTTTGAGTTTTAACGGCTTGTGTCTCCAATTTATGTATATTTACAAATTAAATACTTTTAGTACTGTATTAATGTTATATATCGTAAAAAGCAGAAGCAAACTAGATGTTAAAGGATAAGATGAAAAAAACATATACAGGAATATTCTCTTCACATTTCAATGAATTGTCATAGTTACCTCATCTTTTAAACCCTTTGTTACCTCAGTTTAAACCCAGGGATTAAATAGATGTTGCAGAGTAAATTGGAAATATGTACCCTCTTCTTGTAACTGCTTCTTTGGAAATTATGTTTATAAGTTCTAAACAACCATTTTATAAAAATTGGAAATGCAGTTTTGTTAAAAATTTGAGACCATTAGTCTTTTTCTCCTGCCATATTGGATCACCTTGATAGTCGAAGCAAACCATGGTAAGAAGGGAATTGCAGTCTTCCCAATCCCACACCCATTGGCATGTGGGAGGATGAAACTAATCCAATGTGCTGACATTTTTTTCTAATCTCTGGTCTCTTTGTTTATACTATGAACTCAGCATTAATAGCCTTCATTTTTGAATTGTATACAACCAAACAACAAAACCTTAAATTTGGGGAAAATCTGTAAGCAAAATTGGGTGTGTCGTAAAGCACCAGGATTTTTTTGTTTTTTTGTTTTAAAAGCTTTATTGAAGAGTCTTTTCAGGAGAGAGAGTGAAATGCGGGACTTGCTTTCTTCTGGGTTATCTGTCACGTATAATTGCCAAATAGGAAATAGGAGAAAAGACTGGAATGAAATATACAAAATTCTACCATTAGTTGTGGATAGTGATGTTTTAGGTGACTTTTCCCCTTCATTTCTCAGTTTTTAGTGAAATAATTGCTTTGTTTAAAAACCAGGAAAAAAAGTTTCCAAATATTACTGCCTTTCTGAAAAGTGCCAGAAGCTCATCAGTTTGATTTAATGTCTAATTCAGCAGTGGTGCCTCTACCCGCAATGCCTGGTAATTTTTGCGCCTGAGTTTAAGTGACTGTGTGGTTGCATGCATTTTGCTGTGAGTGCTACTTATGCCATGAGGGAAGCCAGATATAGCTGCATTCTTGATGTCTGTCTGATATCAGTCTTGCAGCCAGAAATTTTTGAGGTCTTTTTGCTGAAGGAGAGAAAATCCACAAAGCACACTTCCTCCACCTCTGTTTCCCTACTTCAGTTTTTTCCCTCCCCAGCTCCCCAAACCATACTCATTCATGGAAATTATTTTTCTGCTGTCACTGGAAAATAATACAATTCTGATACTTCAGGCATGAGATGACTGATTGTTTTTCAGTGCTCTTGCCTTAGACAAAATTAAATCACCAGCAGTGTGTCGCCAACACACATCAAAGCTCTTGTCTCTCTGGGTTCTGTGAGAGCCTTGCAAGTTTCTGAATCAGTCAGAAATTATTGTGGAGCTGAGACTAATGAATGAGGAAGTTCTCTTTTATTTTTCAGATATAATTTCTCTCGTAGCCCATGTGTGTGCTTGTGCTTTCTCTGAAATACAACTGGCCCGTTTTCCCCTGGCCTGTGTTTCCTCCCAGTGCCTTGGTGACTGCTGTCATTTTAATACAAGTAACCCTTCTTGACAGAAATAAGATTAGGTAATTTTCTGACCTTCTAATCCCAGAGGCACCAATTCTCCTGGTTTGCCATTTTGGTTTTACGTTTTTCTAGAAAAATATTTTTGAACATTAAATGAGTAGTGGAAGCAGTTGGCAGTTGCTTTTCATGGAACACATTTATTTCCACATATCAATGAAAATACCCAAGTCATATTAAAATATTTTTGTGCTACCGAACTCAGAAATTTTTGTGGTATTAGCGTTAAGCATAATGGCCCAAAATGTACTCATTAAAAAGTAGAAATAAAATGTTCACGTTTTTGCCTCAGTGATCTCAGTAGTATATTTATACCAATTAAATATTTAACTTACATATAAACCATATTCTATGGTTCCTCTTAAGAAGCAAGATACTTAGTGGACAGTATATGCCATGATCTGTTCCCTGAAGGTGTATACATTTCCAAGTTTCCTTTGAACAGGCAAATTCAGTCAATTAGCAAGTATTTAATGAATTCCCCAAGGACTTCCAGTGGATCAGGAGCCCTGTTGCCACTTTCCTTCTCAATTTTTTCAACTTGACAGAGTGAAAACAACTGACGTTCAGAGTCTGATTTCTTTCAGTATATTCATTGTAGCTTTATGTTTTTAAAACTTCATGATAAATTCAGTCAAGGAAGAAAGGAGTGGGAATGCGCTTCCTGACCCAGTCTCCCAGCGAAGCCACCCACCAAGTGTAGCCACACCGCCTGTCTCCCTGAACAAACACCCGATCAGTTTGAGGAGGGAGGTGCCTTAGTTCTCCTCTAGAGCTGTGTATTCTTCTGAGTTTCCATCTGCTCTCCCCTAACCTAGGTGTTCAGCTTAATAATTTATTGTACCTCAGAGTGACTCACTTCGAAATTGTGATATTAATCGTTGGCAACACTAACAGTGAAGATAAACATTATAATGGCACTCGATTATATGCCTGGACTCATTGTAAGTATTTTATAATTAATAATCTAATGAATCTTCAACTACCGCAACAACCCTAGACATAATTATCCCCATTTTCCAGATAAGGAAGTGGAGACACAGAAAAAAATTAAGTAACATGTCCAGAGTCAAATAGCTAGTAAGTAATACAACTGAGATTTAGTCATGGGAGTGTGATTCCAAGAGCCCATGCTCTTATCCTCTGTACTGCCTCCCTCTGGGCCCGGAAAGCTTTTCTGCCACCAGCATTTCTAGGATTTATTGAAATTTGCATTCCACATTCTTGGTGTCCTTGGTTTATGCAGCAAATGCAGCAATAGTATTTCAAACCTACATTCAAGCATACCTCACCTCTCAGCTGCCATCTCACACTGTCTTGGGAGTGTGGCTCATTGTGCAGATCAGAGAACCCTTAAAAGGGGATCTTGCAGCCAGCATTTTTACCTGTGATAGAATTTACTCTTCAAAGGCACCTAAGGAGCCCGACCTGAACCTGAGGAAATCCGACCTACCTAGGTTAGGAGACCAAGGAAATGATAGTGGGAACATCACCAATGCTGCCTCAATCATCTGGACTCTCTCCAACTTTAGCAGATCCTGACTGAATTTTAACAGCTACCAAAATCAGGTCAAGGAGGCAGAATAGACACATGTTCAGACTCAGTTCTTTGTGTTCTCCAGAGCTGGAGCTGCAGAACTGGGCATAACATTGAAATGAAAGAATACTCCCTCAAAATGATTTGTTTCCTGGAAGAATGTAAAGTGGGGAAAGTCTCTTTACTGAAATGGTTTCTCCGCAGGAGAAATGGCGCCCAGTCCAGAAATCTTTTTTATACCTTAAATAAAGGAATACTTCTCCAAGCCCTGAATCTCCTTGTGTAGTTTTGTCATGAAGGGACATGAGCCAGGAGAGAGTTGCCCAGCACTGTGCCCTCAAATGGCGGGATTGTTAAATCCACATTCACCATTTTATTTGTGTTTCCCCACTCCGTTCCTGTATGCATGATAGAGTTGGATCTTTTTCATTCCCAAGTACTAAATTCCACTTAAATTGATGTTTTCCTCTAAGGATTATTCACCTTTCTCTTGTTTAGTGGAGTGAAGAAACTAATGTACTTGCATAGTCAAATCAGATGTAAAAATTATTTGGAAATTGCTTTTGAGAAGTAATATGGAATCTATGTGTGTTTGGTTATTGGAATCTAAGGTAAAAAAGAGGCTAGTGTTTTCATTTAGAGAAAAATTCCTCTTTGATTCATTTATCAAGTGTATTGAAGTCAGACTTTTGAAGAACCCAGAATATGAAGTGAAAAGGATGAGGAGAGTTTATGGTGTTCTCTGAATTGATTTTTTTTTTTTTTTAAAAAAGCCCATTTTTATTGTGGAGCAGTTTAAAGTTTTATATGGCACCTTTCACCTTGGGCAGCTTTAGGAACAGAATCGGCTCACTCATGAACGATTCCAGAAAGTCTGCTGGGCACAGCCTAGGAAAAGCAGAACTTACAAGGAGCATTTTAGGAGCATCGTTGGTAATCACATGCTCTTGGAAGTTTGCCAGAAGACTGAGGTTACCACCTGAATTTCTGGCAGCGAGCTCAAGAATCCTAATTGGATCAAGCCTTGGTTTTATCTCCTTTCATAAGATATTTATGTCTGTTTCATGTATCTTTGGGCTGAATTGCCAGAACCCAAGAGTTCATAATTAGACAAGAAACCTGCCACTGCTTTTAGTAGCTTGTGTTCTATTTGTCATCTGCATATCCGGGGCCTTTGAAGAAGTATGGTATTACGCACAAGGTTGGGTGGAGCATTGAGTTTCCTTGAGGAAACGGGCAGGAAGAAGAGTCCCATTTTAACTCTGGTTGTTTTCTATATATAATATCTGCACTCAACAGATATTCTGTGTTTTTCTGTCTTTTTAAAGGGAAATTGGAAACTATGGGTAGAGATAGAGACCTTTTTTGAGGGATTTGGGTTTAGTAAAAAGCCTGTCTAGGAGGTCTTCCCTGGCATGCAGAAGCTTAGGAAGATGCTGCAGTGTGCTCCTCTACTATGATCTGATGCAGAGTTGCCACTTCTAGTCACACTCCACAAAGGAAGAACGTGGTAAGGCTAATTGCATTTTCTTTTTGAAGTGTTTCTCTCAGAGCTTTCCTTGGCTTGCTAGGATCATGACCCTTGATTTGATTCAAATATATATATATATTTTATATATGATTTCAGACTTATAGTAATGTGAAGAATTCATCTCACATATGCTAAACGTTGAAAGTGACCATGGAGCATTTAAAGGTAATTTTCAGTATCTTGATGGTATATTATATGATAAATAGGTTTCTTGATATGTTTTAATGTCTTTTATCATCAAAGGAACAATTAGGCCATTTCATTTTCACGAACTGTCAGTTCCTAAAAGTAAGCAAGCACCACCAAATTCAGTTAGTCAACAAATATTGAGCGCCTGTGATTCTTTTATTTGCTAGTCATAATAGAGCTTTAAGTTTAAACTCTGTGTTAATGACAAGTGACTCAAAACATTCCCCTCCCCCGTTAGCAACCGAGAGTGGTAGGACTTACTCTTTTGCATATACACTGTATCTCCCTATTCTTTTTCCTCCAGTGTCTCCCCATCCTATGAGTTCTTTTCCATTTAAGAGCAGAGAATGATCAGATGAACAGAGTTGCTTCTGACAGAGTCATCCTAGACCATCTGTTAGACTGACAAAATTTCATAGTAGTTAGGATTAAATGTTATTTGTAATCTAGGGATTTGGGGCAGCCAAATATATCTTAGGTGACTCAGGATGGATTTGAATAATTCTCAAGGAAATGTTGATTTAATAATAAATGTTTCTGACATGCTGTTGCCATCTGGCTGGAGTTTTGGTGAAGGGAAACAAAGGGACAGTGAGAGAGAGGAGAGAGAAGTCACATATGTACCAGTTAGTGTCACCCCAAAACTATAAATCACAAAGAAATAGCCGTTTTACTCCTTTTCTCAATCATTAGATTGTTTCTTGGAATGAGGGCTTAAGATACCCAGGGTTTCAGAGAATCTGTCAAGTTAAGGAAACTTCATTGCATTCATATTTGTGTTTGGAGCATGTAGTATGAATACTTTGGTCACCTTTTCTTAAATTCATGACTTGAGGTGCATTCTAGTCTGAGACATTGAGAGGCATTTGGGGATTTGAGATACACAGTTAGTTATCTAAGATAATTATAGGAAAACATCAAACCTTTCGGCAACTTTCCCCCCTCAACATGGATATTTTCAGCTTGTGCAATTCACGGTAGGTGTTACATACATTTTCCAATATAACTTGCCATGTAAATAAATATTCCATATGACTCCAAAACAGTTTGTTTCAAAGAAGCCTGTTTCCTCTGTTCTGATAGCCTCAGATAAAGTGGATGGGCCTATAACACTCATTTCTTCTCTTCACTAATATTAGTGATAGTCAGGTTTATAGAGCACTGCCTACCTGCTGGCTGCTTTGCTAAGTGCTTTACAGGTATTTCATTTAGCCCCGTAACAAGCTTCTGCAGAAGGTACAGAGGGGGATTTACTGTTGCTAAGGAAGCTCAGACTCAAGGTTTTTCACTTGCGTGGCCACTTCCGAAGTTCTGGAAGCACCTAGCTGTGGGCTCACAAGGTTACAAGTCTTTGCAAATAACTGCCTGCTCCATACGCTTCAGACTTGTCCAATCCTGGTTTTGCTTCTGGGTAGATACTTTAAATCACCTCCATTTTATAGTTGAGAAGACAGAATATAAGGAACCTGCCCCAGGTCACATAGTGACTGGTAGAGCCTGGCTTTAAGCCCAGACCATCTGGCTCCAAGCCTCCTTGAAGCACTCTGCACATGGTGAAGAGTCTGGGTTTTTCTGAAGATCCAGATGAAAGTCCTGCCTCATATAAATATTATATTAATTATACTTAATTTGCAATTCTATATTCTTGTGTTCAAATGGGTCCTTTAATAAATTTTCAAAGTACTTTTCGTTAAAGGTTTTTTGAAGTGTTGGTACATTGATGTGTGTATAATTACGCATTAATCTGAATCTGAAAGTTAATGTAAAAAAACTACCAAGTAAACTGACAGAGTCTCTGATCTCAGCTTTTTGGGCATGTGAATTCAGAATAGGGAGGCAAAGAGAGTGTTTGGAGATGCCTGAAAGCTGATGGACTTGCGCAAGGTGTGGACATGTTGACTAACATGGCCTGTTGCTATTATGTGCTAGTGTTTAGGCATCTAATTCTGGAAGACTGATTCCAAAAGTCATGTAACTGGACTCCTCATTCACCCACTGAAATCCACTGAGACCCAGTATCCCAGCATTGGAAGATAGATAACAGCCATACTATATTAATTGGATTAAGCAGAAACGCAAATCTCAAAACGATTCTGGATATGTTGTTTTCCTACTTCAATGTGGATGGATGTGACTTTCATGCTTGTTCTTTTCTCCCCTGGAGTTTAGAAAATTCAGTGTTAAAAGTGATACATTTTATTTTTGCTTTTATTTTAGAGTTTCCTTGAAAGTGAAAGCTAGTTTACAAATAAAATAGTATCTTTGTGCTTGAGGTGGTGATAAACTGTTTAGGTAATTGTATTTCATAGTTTGAGTCTACAGTATAAAACCAGAAGGTTGTTTAAATTCAAAATTATATAGGTCCCATACAACTTAGTGTCAGTAAATTGTCAGATATATAGCAAAAACTAGAGATTACTGTGGATTAATCGAGTTGAAGTGTACTAAGGTAGACAATGATTTGGATGTTCATTGGCAACACTGACTATGTGAAATAGCCTTATAATAAATATGACAGCTTGCAGAACCCTCTGGGTATCAGCAAAACCATGATATTCGTCTCAAAGTTCAATACACATTTTTGCTATTTCTTTCAGACACATTGGCAAATTGGTAATCATGACTATCTTAGAGACATTACTTACAACTTTCATAGCTGTCAAGAAAATTTGTTGGCATTTTCTTCCTACGAGGAAATTCCATTTTAGAGATGATATGGGGGAAAGAGGATTAATGAGAAAGATCATTAACATATTTGGCTGTGGGAACAAAGTGAACATAGGAGACAGCCATGACTAATGGGTGAAACAACACCCATATCCTGTGGTCATATGAATATTCTGAGTTGTGATCTGGCTAAATAACAGGTCTCTTTCATTTTAACTTGGTAAGAATATCTACTTTACAAAACTGAAACAAGAGGACACCACTCTGTAAGGATTTGTGTCGCAAGACAAATTTTAGATGGGAGCATATATTTACTGGTGGTGTGTGAGAATGTAATACAAACTGAACTCCTAAATTAAAGAGTTGGAAGTGTGACATAAAGAAATTTCTAGCCGGGCGCAGTGGCTCACGCCTGTAATCCCAGCACTTTGGGAGGCCGAGGCGGGCGGATCACAAGGTCAGGAGATTGAGACCACGGTGAAACCCCGTCTCTACTAAAAATACAAAAAATTAGCCGGGTGCGGTGGTGGGCGCCTGTAGTCCCAGCTACTCGGGAGGCTGAGCCAGGAGAATGGCGTGAACCTGGGAGGCGGAGCTTGCAGTGAACCGAGATCGCGCCACTGCACTCCAGCCTGGGCGACAGAGCGAGACTCCATCTCAAAAAAAAAAAAAAGAAAAAAAAAGAAATTTCTAAAACTGGGAAACTCTATTCTCATGGAAAAAGGGATAGACTCGCAGGGAGTGAGAAGCACTGAAATAGGGAAATGTTTTAGTACCTTAATCCTCAGTAAAAAACAAAACAAAAAAGACTTACTCTCTGCATTTCTCACCAGTGATTGAATGTCAAGCTCTTGAGTTTTTTTTTCCCCCTGAGGAAACGTTTCTGGAATTAGAGTTTTGGAGAAGAGGATTTGCTTTTCAGAATGAAGTCTTTAAAATTTTTGACTGCAATATATAAATTCTACAATCCAAGAAATTCCTGTAGCTAGGGAAGTGTTTGTTGGGCTTATCTCTTTATAATCAGAAAATTCCTTTAAGGTATGGGGAGCGCGTAGGAGTATGAGAATAAGAATTGAGATAATGGTCTGTTTTGCAATCCTCTGTAGTAATACAGCTCAACTGATTGAAGAGAAAGTCTATGGAATGGTAGTTTTCATTTTAGAGAAATCACAATATGTGAAGATAGTCATGTAGCTAGGTTCAGAGAACGGAGGTGAAAATGGACACTGGGGTTCTTTACTCATTGCACCAAATATTTATATCTGCAAAATAGTACATTAATTTGTATCCTCCAAATACAGGAAGAGTAAACCTTTTTCCAAATTAGGCTGTGTTAATATATTTTACTGCTTTAGATGGACTAGATCCTTAATTCTTGTTGGATCAGTATAGCTTTGCTGAATTGAAAAGTCAGTGTGAAAAATTCTCTCCGTTAAAGGAAGAAATGTCAAGATATTATAGCTTTCAGCTCATTATGCTAGAAGGAATGATAAGATGGGCAATGTTACATATAAGAATTTGATTAGGGCCCTCTTATTAACATTTGTGGTATCACATTGATTAGTTTCTGAAAACACATGGATGTTCTGTGTTGTTTATGTATGAGATATAAGTTCTCCCTCTCCCTCTCTCTCTCTGTTATCTAAAATTGTACTACCTAAGAGTCATATTTCAAGGACATTGATATGTTAGCTCTCTTAAGAGAGTCTTCAAATTGAATTTTAAATGAAGATATTTTTAAATGATGAAAGCAACTGTTAACATCCAGTAACAGTAAAAAACAAAAAACAAACAAACAAAAAAAAAACAAAAAAGCTTATTGCTGCCCTAATTTTGTAGGAAAAAGGATTAGACAATTTAACTGTACAATGGCCATTTTTAGAATCCACTATTTAATATTTTCTTGACTGAGGACTGAGAATCATATCAGGACTCCAATTTGCTTGCATCCTTTGACTACACATTAGCTAGAGAGAAGGTTATAGTGGAGCAGAAATGTGGCATATATGGTAGTGATGCATCCCTTAACAACTAGGATACCTTTTGAGAAATGTGTTGTTAGGGGATCAGTTGTTCACACTTGATAGTGTCCTTACACAAATTTAGACGGCACGGCCTACTTACTGCACATCTAGGCCATATGATGTAGCCTATTGCTCCTATGCTACAAACCTGTACAGCATGTTACTATGCTGAGTACTGAGTACTGTAGCCAGTAGTAGCACAGTGGTAAGTATTTGTATATCTAAGCATATTGAAATATAGAAAAGGTATAGTAAAAATGTGGTATTACAATCTTACAGGACCAC